TATCTAGCATTTTGTTAGTGCCAAGGCTTAAATGGTAGGACGTGATCTGGGGTATGTGTTTGCACATATATTTTTTCAAAGAGTGAAACACTGTTTGAACAAATCATTTGAGGATGTAATCTACATAACAAAAGAGAGGCTCATGTAGATAAACAGTCTGGTACATTTCTTTTCTTATGATCTCAGAAACAAATCAAGGTTAGCCTAAACTATTCATAATCATTCCATTTCCCTTGTAATTTAGCCATGGGCATGTGGTGCAACCTTGGTCAATGGAATCTAAGTGCTGGAAGGATCTAGGAAATTTTTCTTGATATTACAAAAAAGACTAAAGATAGAGCCTGCCTTTGACTTTTTGGATGATATCTTATAAGAAGTGATGCTTGGAGCTCTTGTCATTACAGAAAAGTTAACTGAGATTCCTGACACTCCAGAGCCATTCAGTTCACTCCAGAACAACCTCACCTGTGAATTTTCTATAAACTAAGATAACTTTTCCTCATTATTTAAGCCAAAAAATGAGGGAGGTGTGATTAAAAATCCAACCTATAATCAATATCAGAATTATGGCTAGACTCTATATTTAACCTTTAGTGTTTTATGTCTAACAGTCTTTCTTCAAAATCAGAAAATAAGGTATTAATAGAATATTTGTTTACTACTTCATAGATTTTCTGTGTTCTTTATTTATATGTATTTGTTACAGAACCAGCCAAGAATAATGCCCTTAAACTTAATAAAAGTGGCATACTTAAGGTTCTCTGTTATTCTTTCTTGAACTTTAATGGATGTCTTTTTATTTACAATCCTTATATATCTTTTCCACCTATTACCTTTAGAACCAAACTATAATTTAAGATATTATTGGTGATTATACTGCTCTAAATTCTTTGTGTTTGTGCATAATTTATCTTGACAATAAATTAAGACCATAAAAAGTACTTTAAAATTATTCTTTATTTTCAACTTGCTCCTTTTTTTCCTTTAACACAATTTCATACTTTAGAAATATCTCCCCCTTGCCCACACACTTCCTACCTGAATGTTCTTAAAAACAAAATTCATGGCTTTTAGAAACTCTTCAGGAAATTACTCTAGGACTCTTTTAAAATGATTGAAGAAGATTAGTCTTTTTCTGTCCTGAATTGGTAGTCATTATCCATATTTCACCGCCAGACACCTAGAAACATATCATATATCACCGCCAACACAAGGGAAAATTGAAAACAGACTACATTGTTAGAATCTTAAAGAATTTGAACATGTTCATCTTCATTTATAAATATTCAATAAATCTATCACAGAATTCATGTATTATTTGAGACACACACACAACATATCACATTATCTCCTTTTCCTACACTCTAATAACCGCTAGACGGTCAAAGATTCACACATCGCCACTATACACCACATAACACAGAGAGTCATTATGAAAGGTCGCATTCAGCATTGACACCATGAGAACATGAGATAACCCTACTGAGTTACAGAAAAATAGAGAAACTGGCAGAAGACAGGCTGAAAGCATTCTCCTCTATAAACATACGAAGAAAATGGGAGCAGATCAGTTGATGATATTTGAACCTGACAAACACTTCCTCATAGCGCGATACAGCGTCGGTCAGTCACATGATTTATTCATTAATCATGCATATTGAGTGCGCATGTATGATGATTTTGATAAATGATATTCGCCATGATATTGTCTAGTCACTTGCAAAGCGATTACACTTAAACCGGTTAGCTGACATATCAGAATCTGAATGAACGAAGTTGTCATAACCTGAGTCGTGACAGCGGTATACTCCTTCCACATCCAGCAAGAATTAATAGCTGAGAAGACAGCCCGGTCGGCTAATGCCAGCCATGGAGTGCATATAGATGCAAACAGGACATATGGCGTTGATTTAGCCCATGAAAATGATAACCTCCAGAATCACATACATTGCGAACGTCTATTTAGACATCTAAGCACCAGATTGAACTGACAATCACACATCTGTAATGCACCACATTCAGCAATAAAGTTCATCCACGATAAAATATATTTGACGCTCTGTTCTAAAGAGAAGGCTAACGCTATTCAGTATCATTGAACATGACAGGTATTTTACGATTATATACAACACTTTGTCATATTCATTTGAACTACAATACCACAAGAGCAGACACATTAACAGAGTCGAAATATACCGCATGAACTACAAGCACAGTTCAGAACAGACATATATCTTACAGACTTGCACACAGGCTGACTGTATTTATGTTTTCTTCCATTTTTCATTCCCTTCACCTAACTCCATTTGTATCCCACAACAACAGAGCTGAATAAACTTCACACCCACAAAGACAAAAAGGCCTGATTTATAAAAGAATCATCAAAGATATATTGCACATAGTAGGTCAACACAGAATGCTTCATGTTCACAACCTGTCATATCTGTGATTCTAACAAGCACTGTTGCCTGCTAGCCTGTGCAGTACATACTGAGTGCTCCGTATTGGAAGGTGTGCCATACGTATGAGGCTGATGGAATGGCCACAGCTTATTCCTCTGGAATGAGTTTTACTCTGTTGTTAAAACACCAAGCAGCTTGGTTTGAATAAGCAGCCTGGAATATTTACTCCTACTGGTCAGCCCAGGGCAGTGATGAACATGACACCCCTTAAGTAGACCTTAGAGATTCTTTTGAAAACACTGATTTTAGAGCTGATGTTTCCCAAATGAAGCATTCATGAAATTGTACACTTCTAAAAATTTCAAATAGTAATGCAAAAAAGCATCATTAGGGAGGCAGATATACATTCCATTAAATAAGAAGCACCTTCTATGCAAGCATGAAAAGCACTGCTCTGGTGAGAACAGTTTGAAGGACACTGAGACATCAAGTGGCAAGATTTATGGAAAAATACCCAGACAGAAATGGGGCCCTGAAAGATAGCACAAGGCCACCTTTAGTGAAGCAGGGCTGACTGAAATAGCATGGACTGCCCCACAATATTGAACCATAAAGTTCAAATGTGTAATATCAAATTTATGGACAGACTTTCTGGGGCTGTTCTGCCTCATCACAATTATTCCACAAAGAGAGAGCCCACTGAAAAAAGATGAAAAGTAGTACTGAATAACTTCTCACTTAACCTATTTGGGAGCCTGAGGGAAGAAAAAGCCACTGACTTACGAGGGTGTCTATATGATTAAAAGAAGTCAAATCAACAAAACAGCAAAAGAAAAAGAGACACTAGGAGAAACAAAACTGAAAGCCATACACCTAAAGATGCTCTATGGGCTACTGGAGCCTGATGGAACGGTGACCACAGGGCCTGGGGTTTCCTTTCAGGGTCTAGTGTAGCACACACTTTCTGCTTTGTAGAACTGAACAAACCTGACATAGTTATAGTAGTTGTGTAGTACTTGGATGACAGTTGAAATGAAGTTTTTAACTCATCTTTAGATAAATTTTACAAAACAACTTAATACTTTAGATAATTATATTAAAAATATATTATCATGTTTGCCAGAACTCCTACAGAGGCCTAACATAGCTCCCAGATATTTTTTCCACAAGACTCTTTCATAATCTCTAATAAATGTGAATGTTGACAGGGCTTGGCAGGTAGTAGATGGTAATTGTCTTTCCTGCACCAATGGTATACCTTTACAATGCTCCTCATGGAGATTATGGCTAAAATATAATTTATATAGAAACTGGTTTAACCTATGAATTTCATCATAAGCAACACATATTTTGATGATATGTCATAATTTAATTCCCATTAAATAATGCAATGAAGATCCATACCATTAAAGGAAGTTCACTATATTTTCTTGTTAATAATTGCCAAAGGACCCTCATTTGAAATGAGCCAAACTTAACATTGACAGGAGGCTCTTGGCCTGCTGGTAACCTGTGAGCTTTGAGTTGTTTTCAGTTGTAATGAAATACTTCCACAAATATACCCTGTAATCAAAGTCTCATATACTCACAAAATGGGCTGAAGGGTCCAGCCTATTTGCATCCTTTAAAAAGACTGGTATAATGCCCTAGCAGGGCCAAACCAGGAACTGTGTTTCCAACAACATTGGCTCAGGTCATCTGCACTAACTGACCTAGACCTCGTTTTGAATAAAGAGATGTAAACAGTTTTATCCTATTTCTTTTATACATTATTTTTGTATTTAACATTCAACATTTATAGGCAGACCTAGATTTTCTTTTTAAATAAAATAACTGAATTATAACTGGTTCCTTAAACTAGCCTGGGTTTCTGAACTGGTGTATCACATTAGTTATAAAGAGCTGCTTGTCATGGCATGGTGGATAAAGAACTTGATAACTAGTAAACATATTCTTAATTCCAACAAGCTAGAGGGTTACTTAATTGACTTGTCTTTCTTAAGATTTGATTCCCATAAATTAAATTTTGTAATCCATACACATACTAGAAAAGTAAATGGATGGTTTCTAGACATAAATTTGGGTATTTGAAGTTGGTAGAAATATTATGTGAATTTTCTTCTTGGAAAAACTCTGGGAATTTTAAGTTGTGTATGTGTCCGTGTGTGTGTATTCACTTACTTTTCAACCAAGGTTCTGCTAACACCCTCCTTGAAAGCATATATAGTTTCTTAACCCAAACCCGGGAGGCAATAATTGTTGACCAAAGGGATGATGTATGCAAGTGAGAAGAAAGTGGCTAAGAGGAGGGAGAAAAAGAAATAAATAGCATTAACCTCAAAAGGCTAATGGGTAATTGGAGAAAAAAGTTATTTGCTCTAGCTATGGGTATCCTGGGATAGAGGTTTCATTACTCATCTTTTTCCCCAAGTTACTTAAGTTCTGAAAGTAGGATGCCAAGGGACAGCTAACTTCCTATGCAGCAAGACCATTATTTTAAGGGAAAAAAAGGGAAACAAAATTCTACATTTTTAAAATAAGTTTGGAAAGGTTAGGACTCTGTGTATACAGGCTAAGAATCTCCATCGATATACTTACTTTTGTCTCCTATGTTTTCCCCTGCTGCCTCCCCTTCCTCCTCCTCCTCCTCCTCCTCCTCTTCCTCCACCTCTGTGGGCTGTACGTCATCCTGCGGGTCACAGGCACTAACCGGCGCATTCAGACAGCAGTGGTTGAACCCGCTATCTCGAGGCAGAGTAAAACTTCGAGGCTTGCCCCCATTTCCATTTAACACTTGCATCCTGTCGCTCTCGGCTAATGGATAAGGCCCATAGTGATCCTGTAGGTGGCATTTCTGAGTCGGAAGGGTGGACTGCCGCCTGTGCTCTGGGGATATGGCCGCGGGGTCAGAGAAGACAGAATCCTCCAGGGGCAGAGTCTGAAGATAGTGTAATCCTGAGCTTGTCAGGGGCGTCTCAATTAAATCCTGCCAGGAGCGGCGCTGGCTGGCTGTCTTGCGAATGGGGGACACCGCACTGCTCCCAGTCACTTCCTGACGAAACTCCTCATGAGAAGACTGAGACTGAGAGGTCTCTGTGGAGGACAGCCGGCTGTGTTTTGCTTCCACGTAAGGACTGGCACAACTCATCTGTGGAAAGGAGCCTCTGATGAGTCTCTACAGAAATAAAGGGCCACTTCTATCACCAAGAAACTTTTAATTTCCACCAGGTAACATTTGCTAGTTGAGAGTTAAAGACTAGTCAAGTTTTAAAATATCTTAAAGTTAGGCCCCAGCTGACATTTTATGAGACTGAGATGTAGATGTATTGAAATGCAGTTATACCAGGTTCTCTTGGAAAATCTCACATATTAATACAGATGTTTACAACAACGAAACACAAGAAAATGTGAGCACTTATGTAAGAACTATCCAGGAACTAAACAAATAATTGTAGGTGTTTAAATCTGTACTTATTTGAAATCCTGAAGTTGCCAAATTTTTGTTTCCAGAGTTTATGGAGCTTGAGGATGATAGTAAGGAGAGAAAGAGGCTTTGGGATGTGAAAACAAAATGTCTGTGATCAGACAGAACCCTCCCTGTTCTTCACAGGCAAATGTCTGCTCCTATGGGTGCCAAGGAAAAGCTTCATGGCCTTGTGAATTCTGTGGCATTTTTAGAGACTTAAAAACGATGATACCCTCATGGGGATTAGCATTTGCTTTAAGTACAGGCACTTCAGAGTTTATAAACACAAAAGAAATATGGAATATATTTATCCCTGAATTTTAAATCTTGGAAATATATGTTACAGTGAAAAGCACAACCAAGCAAAGGGACTACTGGCATGAAGTGAATGCTGTAGAACACTTGCAGGCATTGCTACTGGGTCAGCCTTACTCTTGCACTGGGGGCTAACAGACCAGAGCAAGCCCAGACTAGAGAGCCAGCTCAGCCTCTCTATGGGCAGAAGCCAGATTTGTTAAATGTGATAATTGGAAATGGGGCTGAGGACAAGCCTGGCTGAAGGGAAAGTGCATGCTGCCCCTCAGGGTAAAGGAGAAATTATGTGGCATTTTCTGTGGGTGGTTTATCTTCTCACATGTTAATAACAACATGACTAGTTTCCTTCTTAAAATTCAAGTGTTGTTATGAATAAATGGCTGTTTGGTGAAGGTATACTTTTCCTTTCTTCCTCTTTTATAAATATTTTAAAGGAATTATTCAGAACCTGATGTTTTAGGGAAGATATGATATAAACTGTATCTTGTCACTGACTTCATTATTTCATTTCTACAGCTTGTCCTTGCATTCTGTTGCACTCGATGAACTTCAGCATTTATAAAAGAAATGTGCATATAGATAGGGACAGTTCTGCAATTTTTCCATTTTTCTCTCGTCCTCCTTAGGTAACAGACAGTGTCTTGAAACATTTTATTAAAAATGTGACTTTCCTTTTAGTTATTAGCCCAAAGTACCCACTCATTTATTTCAGACATATTTATTAAACACTTAATAAGTAAATGCCACTGCTGAGCTAGGCCAAGAAATGTGTAGATGAATAGACTGTTCTGAAAAAGTTCACAATCCAGACCAGCAAGTTGTGTGCAGGCTCAAGTAATCTGATTTAATTTGTTTGCATTGGGCCTGAACATCAACATTTTTAAAACGTTCCAGAGGTGATTCTTATCCACAGCCAAGCCTGAGAAAGCCAAGGCCTAGAATTATCAACATCTTGCATAGCACCTTTCTTATTAAAAATCCCCTGAAATAATATGGAGGTGGAATTAGGTTTGCTGTTGTCACCTAAATCCAGCTTTCATTCTCTATGTGAAAGACTCAGTCCCAAGACAGGCAGAGTTGTCTTTCATGGCACCATGACCATGCAATGTATTGTCTAAAGTGGAACACTACTCAGACACTCTCACTAATTTCGTTGGGAAATGGGCATAAAGTGAGATAGTCTCAAGCAAATCAGAAGAGTTGTTTACCCTATTAAAAGATCAAAGTATAGTTTATATAAAGAGTAATTTACCTAAGTTTAAGAGGTCTGGAGTACCATATAAACATGTACATTAAACCAGATCCTTAACTGTCTCAAAAAGCTACATGACAAAACATGGGCAATACAGATATAATCTTCATTTTTTATGAGTTGATTCTAAAGGATATAGGAATGAACTTTATTAGTGTGAAATAGATAAGGTCAATTTATATAGCTTTTTCTATGAAAACATTTTTTGTTGTTCTTTTCACAAAAGCTACTGTGATACAAACAGTATGTTTTGTATGTTTGCTTAATAAACCCCATCAGATATTTATTATGCATGGAATCTGTGGTTACTATTTCCCTTGATTAAATATTGTTTGCATACTTCATATTTTCTGCTTATGGCTTTTAGTCTCCCTATTTTCTTTCTCTCCAAGAAACTGAGGGCTGACATGCAATTCAGCACATATCTTTTTTTAACAAGCAAAGTGAGGTTGTAGGTCAAGGAATCTGATGCTGTGTTAAGTACAGTCCTGCTCACAACTTACAGAGGGAGGCCGTGGGTATGTATCATAGGGTGGTGGAGGGCTGTCCTGTTTGGGTGTAGATGGAGTATCTGCTTCTTCCTTGTCACTCTCACTCCAGTAATCTGAAAATTCACACACATGCACACATCAACATTCTGTTAATGTTTCTAGACATATTTTCAAGAACATACAATATCAGCTAACAAAAGGAGATTTACATTCCACTCCTACACCCTGCTTCCCAGTACCCACTATCCCAGGCCCACCAACTTTATTTTCAGCTAGGTCTTGAGGATGATGGAAGTGTACAAATATCCAATTCCAACCTCTTTTTAAAGCAAGAAATTATATATGACCACAATTTTAAAGAGTTATGAAAAAGTCACTGCATAAGCCAAAGAAAGTTTAGGGTGTTTAAGGTTCCAGACCAAATTATTCTGCAGCTTCAATTAATGAATAATGTCACATGATGCCGCTTCAAGGTGTATCATTTTATCCTAAAGAAAAATAATGAATATATTGCTGTAGATGCCTACAGATATAAACACTTCCAAAAATAATGTCCTCAATTCTCTTTTTTGGCTTCAATTCTCTAGTTATCTAACAATCACTGTTTCCAGAGTCATGCTGGCATAAATCTCTGTAACACCATACTCCCACCTCTACTTTGAAACACACGGCAAATCTGAATTTTGCCAACTGCAAAAGGGCAAGTCTGCTGATGTGGGCTGCAAGATACAAACTTCTAAAACTACCTAAAAGGGTAGAAAATGTAAGCTGCTAGACAAACTGACTTGGCTGATCAGGCAAGAAGGAAGAAGAAAAACTCTGAGAGATACATAAGATGAGTAAATAAAAGACAGTAAAAAGGCCAATACTCAGAATCTGTTCCACTAATAATACTTCAACTACCCTGGTACTGCTGGGTTAATTCTTTATGTCATTTACATGGAAAAACCCAGAAGTATTATCCATATGAATTTCAGATTATAAAAGAAGAGAAAAGGTATTAAAACAAAAGTTTCCTTATTATTATGAAAATCTAAATCAGAAAAGAACCATCAGAAAGCTTGACTAATATTCAGATTTTGGTGAAAAACCATGGCACATATTTTTTTCAGGACCCCCCCCCCTCCACACAGGAATTCCTATATTGTAGTATTTTTATGTATTTCCTTTGTGCTGCTAAACAATATTAATAAGTACTGCTAAAATATATTGGATTTTTAATTATATGCTGATTAGAAATTAGCAGAAGTAGGATTTGAACTAAGAACTTGTGTTGCTCTAAATCTCAGAGGGCTATGTCACTGGGACTCTTTTGTATGACACAGGGGGAATGTTTAATGCCACATATATCCACAATCCTTTAAGCTCCCTCTTTCTGCTGCTCTGTAACTCTGGCTATTGTGAATAGAAATTGCTTAGCAATGGAGGCTATTATATTTAGGCCTAAAAATACAAGGACTCTGGAAATTCTATTTCTACTGTAATTGTTCCCTTTGAGTAAAAGATAAGCAAAGACTAGTTAGTATAAATTTGATGTCTGGTTTTTACATTGGATCAAGCCAGTGATGGCCAGTATATTAAGCCTTCTGCAAATGTAAACTGACATAGTTGCCCAGAGATGGACCCAGCAAACACTGGTGAGGAAGGCATGAGCGATATACTCAAACAGATGTAGGTTCAATTCTTGGCTGTGACACTTAACCATCTATATGCTTGTGATGGTTACTTAACCTCTCTAAGTCTGTTTTGTCATCTGTAAAAGGGGGTAACAATAACTGCCTTTCAGAGTTTGTATATGTGGAGATACTAAATAAGGTAACATATACCAAGGGACTTTGCCCTGGTCTGTGTGGCTCAGTGGGTTGGAGCATTGTCCCATAAACAGAAAGGTTGCTGGTTTAATTCCCAGTCAGGGAACATGCTTAGGTTGGGCTTCGGTGCTTGGTCAGGACGTGTACAAATGGCAACCAATCGATGTTCCTCACTCACATTGATGTTTCTCTCTCTCCCTTCCCCTCTCTCTAAAATCAATAAGTATGTCCTCAGGTGAAGGTTAAAAAAATAAATTAAAAAAGAGACTTTGCACCTTGAAATCAGTCAATAAATACTAGTTAGGAGCCCCAGTCCTCTTTGTAGGTAGCATGCCAAGACAGTCTGACCCAGCTCACATAGGATATAAATGCCTGGTGTTCAAACTTAGACATTAGTTTTTTCTTATAGCAATTTCTAGCCATGAAAAGTGAATTCTTGAGCCCTGGGGCCTGCATTCGGTACTTTTGTGGGAATTTGAAATACTATTGGGAAGTCACTGCTGGAGGTGAAGGGATTGAGCTTGCCAAGATCACTCTGCTTTTACCCTTCCTACTATTCCCAGAAACTGGTACCTCTGTTGAGCTTCTCTTTGACCTTTGCATTAATACCTTGTGGTCTCAAGGAGTCAGCACCTCTAGTGGTCCTTATTGGCACATGGAGAAGGAAATGATCATCGTTGTATCAAGGTCTCTATAGCTATCACTACAAGCAACATATTTGGGAGAGTCTTTTTCTACTTTTTCCCCTAAGCTAAATTAGAAACAATTTTAGCTCACTATCTGATGCAATTCCTGATCTATTAAAAAGAACCACCAATCTAAAGTTTTCTTGGGTTGCCTAAGAAAAGACTGAAATATCACTTCACTTTGCAGAATAATTTCATTGCTCATACTAAGCTGTGTGTCTTTGAGAGAGCAATGCTAGAGAACAGGCTCCACAGAAAATTTAGTCAGGCTTTTTTTTGGCTCATGTGGAAAATTACAAGCATATTGTCGCTCAGAAGCTGAAACCAGTCTGTTTTTCATTCTAAGAGCAAATTAATTTTTTTAGCTCTCTATTTAGAGAAAAATAAATGGATACTTTGAATGTCTCTTGCAGTGAATTCAATTTTATAAGTAACTAATCATGAATAAACAGTGCCATCAATGAAACAGGAAAATTTCCACTTCTCATTTTGATACAAAAAGATAATTTGAGAAGAATTGACTTTTTCATCTAGAACTATCAAATGAACACAATATACTTCATTCATTTTTATGTAATTAAAGCTCTAAGAAGACCTAATATGTGATTGAAAATAATGTAATGAACGTCTGACTTGAAGCTGGAAAAATATAGGAAAATGACTAGCAGATAATTAGCCAAATTGTTATCTTGGCATAATTTAATATAACCCTGTTTTCTTTAAGTACAATGATGAAAAATGAAAGAGAACCCCACATTCTTTATATTTCTGTAGTTAATGACAGTAATTCATTAAACTTTTACTTAAGTCAATGGAAGAGTCATTTCTAAGTTGCATTGAGCATTTAAATAGATACAGTGTTTGGCAATTATTCCTTTGCATCATTATGAAATATTCCCAATCCTCAAACAGGTATATTTTGAATGAACTTCAACTATGGTACTCAAAAGTGTCAAATAACTTTAAAGAAGTATGGATTAGACACACACATTCAGTAGTTTTCTGTATAGAATACTATGAGACCTACTCATGCAAAGGTAGGAGGTCTATGCTTCTGATCTATGTTAGAGTACCTGAGGAATGCACACTCTAGGTAGAAATCCTAATTATTTCAGATTCCAGTTGTACTGTATTACCAAGAGATATTTGAGTTGTAACTATTACTTTCTGGCTATGATTGTCTACCATACTCCAGTAGGCACTAAAATATTTACTCACACAAGAGACCAGAGCAGCAGGAATCCATGGAATGAATACTTTTTAGAGCCTGCATGTATAATACAACTTACCAGTTCTTTCATCCATAATGAAATTTGGTCATATATACCAAATACAAAGGAAAATCACTAAATCAAGAACATGCTCAGCTTCAAAGTAATGCCTAGTGATAAAATATAGAAGTTAAGCCTGGAACTCCAGCCTTCCATATTCACACAAATTGACTTTTTTAAAAGATTTATTTTCCCATCAGTACATTGACCATACTTCTAATTATTACATCTTAAAAAGATCAGAAATGAATCTGTATGTACCTTCAAAGACAGTTTTTTGCCTTTTAAAGACATTTGAAAAGAAAGGCTTGCATTTTTTTAGCACTCTCACCACAATTATAGGCCTATAAATTAAGTTGAAGCATGAAGGTGGGAAATAAACAGTTTTAAAAATTTGCTTGGATTTGTATTTTTATTGAATTTATTGGGATGACATTGCATAGGTTTCAGGTGTACAGTTCTACAATACATCCTCTGTAAGCTGTTTTGTGTATTCACCACCCCCAAGTGAAGTGTCCTTCCATCACCATTTATCCCCTCTTTACCCTCTTCTACTTCTCCCACTTGCCTTTCCCTCGGGTAATCACCACACTGTTCTCTGTGTGGAATATACTTTTAACAATGAAGTAAGTGGCTTATTAAGTGGCCTGACATTCATTGTCTGGCTGGGGTTTGCCTGTGCACACTGATTTAATTAAGATGGCTTCCACTTATTTGTGGAAGTATCCATGCTGGTTCCACCACAGGAATTTTGTTACTTCCTTGACTCCACATTTTTCTCATCCTGTGAGAACCTCAGATAATTGAGCAAACATAAAGCCTTTCCCCACTCTACATCTGGAAGGAATCTCTCCATTCTCATACCCATGAATGTTGATTTGTACCTCCTTACATTTCACTTTCCATATTTTACTAAGAGTATATTTTCCACTAAAATTTAGGAATGTAATTTCAGGTAGGACAGGTGCTTATTTTACCTTGATATAATTAGAGTGCTAGCTGAAGGCCTTACACAGAAATACTTATTATTGGATCAAATATCTTCTCTCCCTCTCCATTGCTGACTTTATGTGAGGCTCACTGATCACTTTTTCCAGCAAGTGTTTCTTCATTAATACCATCTCTCAAGCTTTAAAAAAATAATCAAGCTTTAAAAAAAATTTGTACCTACTTAGCAAATTTTTAAAATCAGTTTCACATTATACAAAAATTACTACTGATGTACTTTATGTTGCTCTTTAATTTTTCTTAAGCAATTTCAAGTGTGTATTTTTGAGATCCTCAACAAGATGATGAATTCCCACTGGCAGGAAACATGTTTTCCTATTTCTTTGAAATTTCCTGCTCTATCTCCTCACCCTGCACCTCTCTACCCACCTCCATTGCCTCACCCTGTGGCCAGGGCTTGGTAAATTATGGCCTGCAGGCCAATGAGGCACTCTGCATGTTTTTATAGGGCCTGTGAATCAAGAATGGTTATTACATTTTTAAATGGTTAAAAAAGGAAAAGAAGAATATATTTTTTAAAAACGATATGAAATCCAATCCTGGCATCCATAAATAAAGCTTGATTGGAGCTTAGCCATGCCCCTTTACGTGTTTAGAGTTGTTTTCCTGCTGCAACAACAGAGTGAAGTAGTTGCGACAGAACCCTTATGGCCTGCAAAGCCTAAAATATTTACTATTTGGCTCTTTACAGAAAGTTTGCTGACCCTGGCCCTAAAAATTTGCTGACAAATTACTTTTAGGATCTGGTTATCTCCTTTAGATCTCTCTAACCTTTAGTTTTTAGATGTCTTAAAAAGTTTTGGCTCGGGTTTATACTCTGAGAGGAAACAGAAGGATTTTAGGATCTCCATATTAACAGACACGCTATGCCCACTGGATACACAACTAGAGCTATGTTTGTATGTGCATCAATTTGTGAAATTCTTTCAACTTCAGGGTCTCAAAATTTTTCAAAAATCTATTCATGCTTCCAAGTGATGTACAGCAAATACTCTTTGGGAAATGTGATGCCACTTCAGAATGGTGACCACAGCTTTTGTTCAGATTTCAATTCTGCATCATGATATTGTTTTTCATAAATCTGAGGTCAATACCAAGGCAAGTTCCATAAACAATTACACAGTAATAGAATTGAAGAACAAAACTAAATAAGATAATTTATCGAAGAAGGGATCATTCATTTGAGCTCTTAGCATAAAAAGCCACTTAAATGTCTGTAAGACTACTAAACAGAAAAAAAAAACTCACCACCAAGGACCTAGAATTTGGTCAATATATAGAACTAATTAAAGACTTTCAAATTTTTGAGATTTTTTTACTCCCATAGGAAAAAGACTGAGGGAGTTGGCAACAAACAGAAGAAAACTTCACATTAGCTGTTCCAAAAATTTGAGAGTTTATTCCTTATCTGTTTAATTTATTAAACTTTACCTATAAAATACTATGGTTTGTATCCAGAGTACCCAGAAGACAAATAAGCATAAACTAACACATGAATTTTCTCTCAAGTGATAACAGTAAATCACTGTGTAGAATAACAACAAGAAAAAAAGAAGTATAACACAATTATTTAAAAAAGAAGTATTCTTCCCTGGCTGGTGTAGCTCAGTGGATTGAGCACTGGCCTGTGAACGAAAGGGTCTCCAGTTCAATTCCCACTCAGAGCACATGCCTGGGTTGCAGGCCAGGTATCCAGTAGGGGGAGTTCAATAGGCAACCACACATTGATGTTTTTCTCCCTTTCTCCCTCCCTTCCCCTCTCTAAAAATAAATAAATAAAATCTTTAAAAAAGTATTCTTTTACCTTGTTCTTGCTTAATCCTCTCTCTTTCTGCGTAACCTGCAGTCAGCATATTAATTCTGTTAAGCCATCTAAAAAAATTAAATATTAAAATCAGGCCAAATATTAAAGACCAAATATTAAAATCAGAAACATTGCAACTTACTTTCTTATACTTCTTAGAAATATTTATTTTAATATGCCTAAAATATATGGAATAATCCTACATAAAATATGTGTTCTTTGCTATTTTTGGCACATGGAGACTCCAATGAGCTAAAATTTGCTGTAGTACAAATTGCTCCCACACCAAAGAGTATCTATTTTAATAGAAAAGTCTTGGGCAAACCTGTTAACACCTGTAACATAAAGGGTTTTGAGATGACCAAAACCCTATTAAGTCTGTTATTCCAATGTAGAAGCATTCCAACTAGTTCTGTTGTTTTGTTTCTTCAGAACAAATGCTCCTTTAGAAATATTTAAATAATATCAGATACAATTTGTCCTGATAAGGGAAAAGGTTGTGGACCCTGCCTGTCAAAATAAGTTTTATTATGAAATACTAGTGTTGATGAAATTCTTTTAAGTTTAATGATCCACTTAGAAACACATCTTGAGAGTACTTAGGAAATTTGTCTGTAAATACAAGGGTATTAGGCTTTCCAAAGATAAAATGAGCATATACAAATTTAACCTCTGTTGAGATCCCAAAAATTTATCTCCATGAACAATAGTAACTTAAAAATAAATCTTAGTTCTTCCCTCTTTGAAAAGTGCTGCTTTCATCAATATTGGGGACTGCCTGAAGTAAACTCCTGTTTCAATCTCCATCTTTTGTACCACCAGGTATTTCCCTGTGCTCATTATTCCAACTGTTTATACTACATGACATTGACAAATCACAAAATCTTTAAACTGATCTGACAATTTCCCATTGCTCAGTATGACCTATGACCCATATACTTTTTAAAATCAGAAATTAAGGAATAACCCACTTTCCAAACTAGCTTGAGTAAGTTTGGAACCACTGGTATAGTTAACATCATTTAAGTGTGTAATAATGTGATTGAGATGCATTTTTTAAAGAAAAGGTTGTGTTTGAGAACTTTTTCTCCTAGAGCTTAGCTCCTCTGTTAAATGGAAGATGACATTCTTTGAAATGACTCATATGTTTCATCATTTATGCCAGCTGGTGTTAACTGTGCATCAATACTTAGAATATCTTGAAAAGGGAGGAGAGTTGTGTCTCTGATGGGCAAAAATCACATCCATGGAAATTTAAGCTTTAATTTTAAGACTAAGTCACTTAAAGCTCAACTTTATTTTGACAAAATTTATGATGTTATTATTGCCTTAAGTATGTTTGGGAGGTGAAGAAGGGACTGGAGCAAATGGAATAAAGTAAAGATTGATAAAATGAATTCAGTACCATGGTATATACACACACAGTTCAGAAAATTATAAACTATAAGTCAAAATGTGGACATCATGACAAATAACCTTTTTAAAATGACTTAATTGTTAGTAAAACGTCAAAATTAAAATCTAGTCAATATGTCATTTGTAGTAACAAAGGGCTTGAGTTTGTACTACAAGGCAAATCTTAGCACTCTAGAGAAAGATTGCTATGGTTCCTTTTGGGTGAAAATGATGATAACAGTACTACAGGACTATTTATTATTTAATTTTAATTCAGTATATCATATTCACTAATTTTTAAAATATCACTGAAATTTCATTTTATCAGACATCTAAAGTACAATGAGGTCTTTATGAAATGAATCAGGAAATGAAAGAAGTGGCTTCCTTAGTTTTCAATTCAACATTTATTAAGTATCTGCTATCTCTTGAATAATTAGTCATGTTTTGGGGGTACAAAATGAGTAAGACATAATTTGAGCCTTCAGTGAGCTACAGAATTGCTAAATTTCATAAGCCAATTGGAAAATTAAACTACTTTTATGAAGAAAAATTCTGTTCATACTAAACACTCTTTAGTCAAGTGTGTAGATAAACTCATGGCACTGCACATAGACATGATAAACTGAACAATACACAAATGTTGGTGCAATATTAAACTTGTCCTTAAGACCTCATCTAGGAGATGCTAACCTATACACTTGCTGCAGTTATGATTTGGCACTTACAGGCTCTTATCAACAGCGCGCACACACACACACACACACATATTAAATAAGTCAAGAAATGTTTATTCAGAGCCTATGTGTGCCAGGTACTGCTCTAGGTACTGGGGAAACAGGTAGCAAAATAAAGCATTTGCTTTCATGATGCTTATATCTTAAGAGGGAGATAAACAATAAGCAGGGATACACATAAACCTATGTTAAGTAGTAGCAAATGTATTAAAAAACAAGGTAAAAAAATAGAATGGTAAAGGTGCCAGGGATTGGGAGAGGCTGTTTTAAAATAAGGTGGTCAGGGGTACAGTGCTGAATATAGAATATTTTCAGACATTGATGGGGAGGTCTAAATTCAGTCAGTAACTTACCATATTACCAATTCATTAAAACAAGAAGATACAGGTAAGGGGATATTAGACCCCCACTGAGCAATCCAATGAGGTTGTCAATAACTGACAGAGATAATGTATTGAGAAAGAAAAAAGAATATGAACTATGGGAAAAATGTAGAAATAATAATCACCAAATAGAAGTTAATGAGCCCTCTCAAGTACAAGGACATATGTGCTGACATGATGAGAAATATATAGGCCAAATGAATTCAGTAAATAAGTCTCAGAATTGAGAAACATGATGATTTGTTTTATTTCCACAGATTTCACACAAAGTGGACATTTAAAAAAAATGTTTCAATACTCATTTCTGAGGAGGGAAGAGATGGATAGTGGTGGGGTGCTTAAAAGTGTTTTTGCAAATTATCTCACAATCAAATGTATGCTGACCAAAAAATAGAAGGTGAGATTTTAATATTCAATGAGCATATATATGAGGTCTGTCCAGAAAAAGTCCAGCCATTGTTAATATACCAAGAATGGTTTGTGTGAAATTGATGTAACCTGGCAGACAAGGTGAGTGGACTGGAATGCACGTGTGTAATGTACAATGATGACTTTACCGTACTAGTCAGTGGGGGTGGTAGACACTGTTGAGTGAGCATATGTACTGTATGGTATTCAGAATGACTGAGCAAGCAGAGCAATGAATCTGCCTCATATTTTGTGTTAAGCTTGAACATTCCTCCACGGAAACTATTCTGATGATTCAGAAGGCTGTATCTATGGGCAACTGGTGATTGGCAGCTTCATCATGATAATGTGCCCACTCATGTATCATGCCTCATGCAGAATTTTTTTGAAAAACATCAAATCGCCCAGGTGACTCAGGATCCCTCCAGCCCAGATTTGGCACCCTGTGACTTCTGGCTTTTCCCAAAACTAAAATCACCTTCAAAAGGGAAGAGATTTCAGATCATCGATGAGATTAAGGAAAATATGACGAGGCTGCTGATGGCAATGGGAGAACTGCGTGAGGTCCCAAGGTGCCTTCTTTGAAGTGGACTGAGGCATCATTGTCCTAATACAATGCTTCTTGTATTTTCTATCTTCTTCAATAAATGTCTCTATTTTTCATAGTACTTGGCCGGATACTTTCTGGACAGACCTTTGTGTGTATATACATACATACATTTGGGTATATGTATACATACATTTGGGTATATGTGTACATAAGTAGATATGACTATATGTATGTGTGTGTGTGTGTGTATATATGTGTATAGATATACACAGAGATTTTATGGAAGAAAATTAAGGATAATTTTTCATTCTAACTACTAGATTCTATCACAAATAGCACTATATATTTTAAATACATATGTAATTGTATAACATAATACATACATAATACATAATTGTATTAAATACATAAATAATTGTATATATTTTAAATACATATGATAATGCTTTAGAAATTATTAAATAACAAGATAAAGCATATATTTATTATAATAATTACTATAATTATGTAATTAATAATTATTATACATATATCATCTCTTGAAGACTTAGGTACGTGCCTTTAAAAGAGTACATATAGAATGAACAAATGAAGCAACACCCAAGTCATCTTGCTGTTACATAACAATTACTTTATTGAACAAAGTTGTTGGAGGGTGTCTTTCCCCATCAGTAATTTTTTGTGAGTGTTTCTAGTATTGACTCTCCCATTTATTCAATAAGTAATTTTAAAAAATTTGCCTAATGAAAGTAAACATCAGGAATATGCTTATAAAAAAGCAAAGCAAAAAAGTTCATTATACTTACATTTTTAAAAAAGATTCAGTATTTCAGAACAATTTAATTCTGCCTGAAATGTGTGATGTGGAGATAATATATTTGATCAGATTCATTTTTCCTTTGACCCATTGCTTAGAGAAAGTAAAAAAATGCAACACATGGGTTTGGTTTAGCTTCTGTGGTATCCTGAAGCAGATACATGCATAGAAGCATTGGGGAAGAGTAGTGACATCACGTACTTCTGCAGTTATTGCTAAAACAGGGTATGGAATGTAGACCAAGAATGACTCTTTAGGTCATAAAAATGCGTTTTTGAGCAGGCCAATTTCGAAGTCTAAGAATACCCTGATTAGCATGTATTATGAATGATTAAATTGCACTAAATCTTAGACGTAGGTGACTGTTCAAGTGTATCCATCTTGTAACATAGGATATATTCTTATACACTACCTGTTTTCAGTTTGGTCATAATGTAACCCTTCATATTTATTCCAAGGGCATTGAGCTCAACAAATGGTAAAATGGATAGTGAGTAACTAGAAAAGTAGAAGACAGAACTATAAAAGCAAAAAATCAATTAACACAGCCCCGTCCCCATGTCATGTGAACAAGGAGAAAGAATGGTAGCATATTAATCAAGACAATATTATGAAATGGCTGACAGTGTTCAGAGGGGAGAGGAGAGGGAATTTCTGGGGAATTTCAGGGGAAAAGGGGAAGGGTTTACAGGAACAAGTGTAAAGGACACATGGATAAAAAACTAGGGGTGGGTGGAAATGGGAGGGAGGATGGGAGGGCTGGGTGGGTGGGCTGGGATGGGAGTAAAAGAAAATTGTACTGCAACAACAATTAAAATAAATAGATAAATAAATAAGTAAGTAAGTAAATAAATAAATATTGTGGAAACCACATGGAAGGCTCAGTTCTCTTATCAATAATGAAAGATTTTTATTGACTATCCTTAACACCTTTCTTTGCCATTTCCTTGTAGTCATAGACTTGCTTTGGAAAAATCATGTTGAATTTTCAAGTGTCAAAGAACAATATTAATCAGACTCTAAATTATACTCCCTAAAATAAAGGAAACTTGACAGATGGGAAAGAAAACACATTAAGTTTCATTTATTGTGTTAAACTGCATTTATGAAGATGTACAATTTTATGGTTAAAATATTTGGATACTAATTTTTTTTGAGATACACAAAGAAAGGTAAATAAGGTAAGAGCTCAAAGTATATAAAAGGAATCTATATGCTAGCAAACACTTTACAGCACAATGTAGGAGGCCTTTATGTGTGCTTATCTGCTCCTCACAAAAGTCCTATGGGTGAAAATGGTTATTATCTCCATTTTTAAAAACAGTTAATACCCAGCATAGAGAGGCCAAATTCTATGTCCTAGGTCACACAGCTAGTAAGTAAGAGAGCTGGGATTTGGACAGTCTGGTTCCAAAATCCATGCTCTTGACCAGTATATGTAACCTCCTGAACTGTCAGCAGGTTATGTATGTAATATACTCTGTCTGCCGAAGACCTATAAAAGGGGAAAATTTTGCATATTGAATCTAACTTTTAGAAATCTAGAAAAGGGAGAGGGGAAGGAAAGGAATGTAAGAAAGGATCAAATTCATAAAGCTAAAGTACCAACACAAATCAGAACATTGCAAATGATAGAAAATATACGAAGAGAGATATTCTCAGAGCCACCAAATAACCATGTGGCCATCTAATCATTTGGCTGTACAATGGTGTTCAGTGACACAAGAAAAGGGACAGAAAGAAATACTAACTTTGCTTAGGTCTGAATTATTGAGATGGGTGTTCTGTCATGGGTGTTCACTCAGCAGGAAAAAATCAGCTTTTTTGTGGGTATCTTTTCTTCCCCATCTGAGAATAAATTTGAAGACATTTTCTTGAAATGGACTTTTTAAAAAACTTTCTCTTAGTTTGTGGGGTTTTTGGTCTATTTATGGATTCTGGTGCATTTTTGGTAAACTTGACAGTGAATGAGTTTACTTTGAGTTTTTAAAATGCTGTTCTTTAAAATTAGGTATGGCTACACTTTATTTCAAACTGATCAATCTAGAAACTTCAGTGACATTCTCTAGGCATTAATGTGAAAAACGTATTAACTAAGTACTTTGAAATTTAAGTACACTTTACCTGTTCATATCATCAAGATGCTCAGCAGCAAAATAAAAGCTTTTGATTTTAGGATGACAGGCTTTGAATGCACTGCAAAAGAAAAAAATGCATTTATTTTATTTCAAATTGGGAAATAGATTGGAACGAAATCATTTTTATGGGTAAAACTACCTGAATATCTAACCTGAGTTCACACACATAATGCTTCTGCCATAATGACAGAAATCAGTAAAAAAATCCAATTTTCTGCCCACAAAATGCTTTCTTATTACCTCAATTTGAAAGCATTAGACAAGTAACCTACAATTTAAAGCTAGAAAAAAAATTTAAAGTATTCCCTTTTTCCCCTCTCCCCAAGTAAAATCAACTTACTATTTCTTGCGGCATTCACTGGCTCTATCAATTTTAAATTCAGGCAGGCTGATGAATCCTTCTGCTTTCTCATCCTAAAGAAGTAACACTCTTGTTTAGGATATTATGTAGAATGGTTTGAAGCTGATACAATGTAACTAATGATGTAAATATACTAATAAATGTGTCCATTAATTCCTTAAATATGACATTTTAGAGATCAAAATTCCACTTTGTTGGCTATATTTAATTAAGTTAGAGGTATATTTTGAACATTTAGAGTGCCACAAATTAAAATATGTATAGAAAAATCCTTTTTACATTAAAATGTTGATAGAAAATTCTTTAATTCTCAAAGTGAAACATGTTTTGTAATTTTCTAATATGCATGTTTATACACTTTTATAACATGTAAAATAATTTTTGTCCACATTTAAAATTCATAATTTTCTGTTATTTTTAATGCTCAGATATAATATATAGGGGAGTTTACTAACTCAATTCCTTTCCTGCCTCCAAAACATCTATCAAACCTGAATTAAATAATTACTTTGTGGAGTCAAGATTTCACAAATGAAATAGATTATTTTAATCTTTAGATATCTGATTTGGTATATATGCTATATATAAAGGTTTTTTTCACTTGAAAAATTAAATGAAATAGATAAAATCCTCCTATCTCTAATGAGGGATGAAAAACAAGATAGAAGAATTATCCAAAATCTTACATTAGATACATGTTATCCAAACTATGCTAAGACTGACTTTAGCTAAACCCTTTCATTGTTATTGTCCCTTTCATGCTCATGACCAAGCTCCTCAGACTTTTACTCTCCCAAACTTTGATCTGTGCAGTACTGATCGCTTCTTACATCTCAAGTTCAAGTGAGATTGAATCCCCATTTGCTGTATCAAAGAAAATACAGAGAGTATCAATTATTTTACCGCGTGTATGTATATATGTAAAACTTAACAAAAATTTGATATTCTTGATAGTGGCTAACATGTTTGTGTTATTAAAAAACCAGTATAATAATTTTTCCAATATATGAGTTTTTTTCTTCCAATCTTAGGCTAAATACAATAGTCTCAAATCTCTTTCTCAACTTTGATTACCCTTGTTACCATGATGCCTTTAATTTAAAATGTTTAAATTTTGAACCATTAAAACATTGTGGTGCAGTTATTATCTTCCCATAATGATCAAATGAGGGACTTTCACATTTCTCCTAAAAAATGTCACACTAGGGTATTTCTTGCAATGTATACTGTGGAATTAGTCACTCACCTCTCATAAGACTAACACAGTAACAATAACTTTCTGATTGAAACAGCTACTATTCAATAAAAAGAGGCCACAGTTTTTTGATCACTTAAATTGTGAAAGATAGAATATAATTTAATGTACAACAGACAAATCTACAAGTGACCTTAAAATAAAAACAGACAAAGAGAACAGTATATTTTGATAATGCTTGATTGGTTTATTAAGTGTATATATACACTAAATGAAAATATAGGTAAAATTATTGTCTGTTTACTACATCTAAAATAAGACACATGATCCATGGCTGCTGTAGCTCATTGGATTGAGAACAGGTCTGCAAACTAAAGGGTCATACATTTGATTCCCAGTCAGGGCACATGCCTGGGCTGCAGGCCAGGTGCCCAGTGAGGGGCATGCGGGAGGCAACCACACATTGATGTTTCTCTCCTTCTCTTTTGCCTTCCCTTCCCTTCTCTCTAAAAATAAATAAATAAAATTCTTTTTAAAAAAATATTTTATTTATTTATTTTTAGAGAGGGAAGGGAGGGAGATAGAAAGAGAGAGAGAGAAACATCAATGTGCGGTTGCTGGGGGTCACGGCCTGCAACCCAGGCATGTACCCTGACTGGGAATCGAACCTGCGACACTTTGGTTCACAGCCTGCGCTCAATCCACTGCGCTACGCCAGCCAGGGCAAAAATTCTTTAAAAAAATAAGACACATAAAATTATGTGATTGCCAGAAAAAATATCAAAAGTACGGTAAATAACCAAATCCTTCTATAGAGGTAATACGGACACTTACATTAAATAGTAAAATAGTAACTCAATAAAATAAGATGTCAATTTTAAAAATACTACTAATAGCATATGTTTATTGAGTACTTAGTATGTACCAGGCATTGGTATTAAAGGCATTGATTCCTTTTATCCATATAAGAGCCCAGTGAGCTAGGTACAATTATTACTCCCTTTTTTGCAGATATGGAAAATGAGGCACAGTACCTCAGGCAGTGTTAGGAATACTTTTTTAAACATAACCTAACATAAAATAAAATAAGAACATACCAGCCTGTCTAGGGAACACAAAATTCTCTACAGATGTTATAATCATAAGTGTAACAATGTTAAATTATATTTCAAAAATTAATCTTCAAATGCAAATTGAATGTTATAACATAATATTGATATTATTCATATAAGACTATTTAGCCGGTATCCTGCATTAAGCCATGTACATTTTTTGAGAAAACAAGTTGACAACAGAAATTATTGTTAAAAAAGACCTACCATGATCTGATAGATGGCTATGGCAAAGGAATCAAAGGAAATGTAGTGTAAAGGGAATATCAATAAGGAAGATATACTCTTGTGTATCTGTTGTGATATGTGATAGATTATGATATATTACTCTGGAAAAAGTATGTTAACTGCAAATGAAATAAAATCATAAGAACAACTTAAGTGTATTATATACACCCTACTCCCGAATTGTGCCAAATGAAATGAAACTTGCAGATTTTCAAAACTAGTCTCTTAGTTCATTTTTTTAAAAAACCAAAATAAAGTCTAGTGATAGTAATTTTTTAAAAGCACTAAAGGACTCCCCCCCAAACAGAACAAAATTTAAAATTTTAAACAAAAACATTTAAAAACCTGTATAAAATATCCATATATAATATTTTAAATTAAGCTATTGCTCTAATTGCCTTGGTATTTTTAATTAGATATATAAAATTTTATTTTATCTTTGTTTCAGATATGCTGCTATATTAGAATAAATGATAGAACTATCTTTATAGAACCCCCAAATACAAACATTTTAAAAGTCTTAAATATTTTTCTTGTGAAAAATAACTAGCAAAAATCTTCTGAATTAGCCTTTAGATGATTATGTGATTTTATAAGTCTCAAAAGGATGATTCTTTTGGTTAAAGATAGAGAATGGATGGGAAAACAAAATGTGCTTGTCTTACCTCCTCATTAATATACCAATATAGGGATGCATCCTTAAGGACAAACCAATATTTCTTCCATTTCTGTGAAAAATAACTCTTTGCATCTTTCTTTTTCCAAAGCCAGCCTTCACAGTCACCACGGCCAAGATCTTTGCAAGAAATTCGTCTTTTGCTCTTGCCAGCTATAGGACCTAAAGATAATAACAGTGGGTAAAAATATTCTTTGAATTTTAGAAATGTGTGGAGGTAGAAGACTGATTTATAGATCACAAAAAATCAGTTTGGGTTCTTAACCTTAAAAATTCCTATTTACAATTTAGAAAAATATGGAAATCTTTAATATCACTTTCCCCACATAAGTGACATACAATTTAATCACAAGTGTGTAATCAGACTTGATGTGCCTTGGTGTGTTCCTCCTTGCGTCCAATTTCTTTGGGATTCTCTGGGCTTCCTGGACTTCCTGGAAGTCTATTTCTTTCCCAGATTGGGGAAATTTTCCTTCATTATTTTTTCAAATGAGTTTTCAACTTCTTGCTCTTGTTCTTCTCCTTCTGGCACCCCTATGATTCTGATGTTAGAGCATTTAAAATTGTCCCTGAGTTTCCTAAGCCTCTCCTCATTGTTTTGAATTTTTGTTCCTTCATTCTGTTCTAGTTGGATGTTTATTTTTTCCTTTTGTTCCAAATTGTTGCTTTGAATCTTGGTTTCCTTCCCCTCGCTGTTGGTTCCCTGTATATTTTCCTTTATTTCACTTTTTATAGCCTTCAATTTTTCCTCTATTTTGTGACCATAGTCAACCAATTCTGTGAGCATGCTCATTACCAGTGTTTTGAACTCTGCATCAGACAGATTGGCTTTCTCCTCGTCACTTAGCTCTTTTCTGGAGTTTTGATCTGTTCCTTCATTTGGGCCATATTTCTTTATCTCGGTGCACCTGTTATGTTGTAAGGGGGTGGAGCCTTTGATATTCATCCAGGTGAGTCAACCCTCTTTGCTGCATTGGAGTGTTGTCTGTGGGGGAGGGGTCAGAGAGAGAACAATGCCACTGGCTTGCTCTGCTCTAGCCCCACTTTTCAATGAACTCTCTCATGTGAGACTGGGAGTTTCTCCTGTCTTGGCAACCCCCACAGTAGTTTACATCTAGCTTTGAATCTTTAGTTTCCCACTCAGCCAGCCCTGCCTTGCCCACACAGTCCACCGACTTGCTCTGCATCTTCTCTGCTCAGCTGCCTGATTCCATCCTCCTACTGGTTTGGGTGAATGTTTCTTTAACTCACTGGTTGTTGGAGTTCCATGAAGTTTGATTTTCTGGCACTTCTGGTTGTTTATTGTTTTTAGATTGGTTGTTGTCCTTCTTTTGGTTGTATGAGGAAGTGAAGTGTTTCTACCTATGTCTCTCTTTTGGCCAGAACTCTCTTAACAGAAGTTTTATAAATAATTAAAGATTTATAGAAGAAGCCATATTGAGGCAGGTAGGAAGGGCAGAGATGTAAAAAGAGTTGACCCCACCCACATGTGGCTTTTGAGAATTGGGAGGGATAGCTCAGCTGCAAAATTCCTCCTGAGAAATAAGGGGTCTCAACTCCATGCCAGGCTCCCCAGTCTACAACACCAAAGCAGAAAAGAAGGATCCACATATATAATGTGAAAATCAGCATAGATTTCATCTGCCAGAGTGAGACCTGAGGCTGCTAGAAATCTAGGCACAGTCTTAAAGAGTCAGCACACAAAATCTCATTCATAGCCACTAACCCTGGGCAGATCTACCTAATACACAGGAACAGATAACAGAGAGGCAGCCAAAATGAGGAGACAAAGAAACATGCCCCAAATGAAAGAGCTGAAGATATACCCAGAAAAAGAACTAAAAGAAATGGAGGCAAGTGATCTACTAGGTACAGTTTTCAAAACAATGGTTAATGAGAAAGCTCAAGAAATTTAGGGAAAGAATGGATGAACTCAGTGAGAACTTAAAGAGATAGTAAGCATAAAAAAGTATATAGAAATCATAAAAAGGACCAGTCAGAAAAGAAGAATATAATATATGAAATAAAGAGTATACTAGGAGGATTCAACAGCAGGTTAGATAAACCAGAGGATCAAATCAGCAATTTGAAAGACAAGGTAGCAGAAAACAACCGACCAGAACAGCAAGAAGAAAAAAAAAGAATTTTAAAACTGATAGTTTAAGGGACCAGTGAGACAACATGAAGCATAGCAACATCTGCATCACAGGGGCAGCAGAAGGCGGGGGGAGAGAGAGAGAGAGAGAGAGAGAGAGAGGGAGATATTAAGGGTCTATTTGAAACAATAATCACTGAAAACTTTCCTAACCTGGTGAAGAAAAAGACACACAGGTCCAGGAAGTGCAGAGTCCCAAATAAGATGAAAGCAAAGAAGCTCACACCAAGACACATCATAATTAAAGTGGCAAAGGTTAAAGACAAAGAGAGAATCTTAAAAGCATCAAGAGAGAGACAGTTACTTATAATAGACCTCCCATAAGACTATAATCTGATTTTTCAATAGAAACACTTCAGGCAAGAAAGGATGGGATCAGCATGAAATACTCAAAGAAATGAAAAGCAAGGACCTACAACCAAGACTATTTTATCCAGCAAGACTATCATTTTAAAATGATGGAGAAATAGAGAGCTCCCAAGACAAGAAAAAACTAAAGGAGTTCATTACCATCAAACTAGTATTGCAAGAAATGCTAAAGTTCCTCTTTAAGAGGAAGAAAAAAAGAGGAACATACATATGTATAATAAAATGGCAAAAATATGTACCTATCAATAATCACATTACATGTAAACAGATTAAAAGCTTCAATCAAAAAGGCACAGGGTAGCTGAAAGCATAAGAAAACAAGACCTATATATATACTGTCTATAAGGGACCCACCTCAGAATGAAAGACACACAGAGGCTAAAAGTAAAGGGATAAAAAAGATATTTCATGCAAATGGAAAGGAGAAAAAACTGGGGTAGCAATACTTACATCTGACAAAAATAGACTTTAAAACAAAGTCTACAGTAAGAGACAAAGAAGGATACTACATAATGATAAAGAGATCAATCCAAAAAGATGATAGATATAGCCCTTGTAAACCTTTATGCACCCAACATAGAAGCACCTAAATATTTAAAGCAAATATTTATGGGCATAAGGGGAGAGATCGACAGTAATACAGTCATAGTACAAGATTTCAACAGCTCATTAACATTGATGGATAAATATTCAAGAGAAATAATAAACAACAAACAGTAGCTTTAAATGACATACTAGGCCAGACTAACTTAATGGATATTTTGAGAGCATTTCACCCCAAAGCAGCAGAATATGCATTCTTTTCAAGTGCATATGGAACACTTTCTAGGATAGACCACACATTATGCCACAAAACAAGTCTCCTTAAGTTTAAAAAGATTGAAATCATATTAAGCATCTTCTTAGCCCACAATGGTATGAAACTGGAAATTAATTACAAGAAAAAACTGAAGAACACACAAACACATGAAGGCTAAATAACATGGGTTAAAGATGAAATCAAGGAAAAAAATAAAAAAATACCTTGAGACAAATGAAAATGAACACACAATGAAGCCCAATCTATGGGACACAGTGAAAGCAATCCTGAGAGGGAAATTCATAGCAATACAGGCTTACCTCAAGACACAAGAAAAATCACAAATAAATAATCTTAACTTACACCTAAAGGAACTAAAGAAAAAGAAAACAAAGCCCCAAGTGAGTAGAAAGAAGGAAATAATAAACATCAGAGCAGAAATAAACATAATACAGTCTTAAAAATACAAAAAAACCCCAATGAAACTAAGAGTTGGTTCCTTGAAAAGACAAATAAGATTGATAAACATTTAACAAGACTCATCAAAAAAAGAGAGAGGACCTAAATAAATAAAATCATTAATGAAAAAGGACAAGTAACAACTGACACCACAGACATGCAAAGGATTATAAAAAATATTAGAAACTACTATGCACAAACAAATTTCACAATCTGGAAGAAATAGATATATTCCTAGAAACACACAATTTCCCCAAACTGAATCAAGAATAAACAGAAAATCTGAACAGACCAATTACAACAAAGGAAATCAAAGCAATAACAATGAACTCCCAATAAACAAAAGTCCTGGACCAAATGGCTTCACAGGTGAATTTTACCAAACATTGAAAGAGTAACTAACATCTATGCTTCTCAAACTGTTCATAAAAAAACTCAAAATGAGGGGAGACTCCCAAACTTATTATCTTAATTCCAAAAACAGAAAAATACACTAGAAAAAAGAAATTATAGGCTAATATCCCTAATGAGCTTAGATGCATAAATCTTCAGCAAAATATTAACTAACCAAATTCAGCAATACATTAAAAGATCGTACACCATGACAAAATGGGATTTATTCTTGGGATGCAAGCTTGATTTAATATACCCAAATCAACCAACATGATACACCACATAAACAAATTGAAGGATAAAAATCACATGATCATATCAACAGATGCAGAAAATGCAAATGCATTGAACAAAATCTAGCACCCATTTGTGATAAAAACTCTTAGCCTAGTGGAAATACAGGGAACATACCTCAACATAATGAAGGCCATATATGACAAACCCACAGATATCATACTCAATGGGGAAAAACTAAAAGCATTTCCCTTAAGATTAGGAGCAAGACAGGAATGTCTGCTTTCACCACTCTTATTCAGCATAGCTCTGGAAGTCCTATCCATAGCAATCAGACAAGAAAAAAAGGCATCCAAGTCAAAAAGGAAGAAGACTGCCATTATTTGCAGATAACATGATACTGTATAAAAATAACCCTAAAATGTCCACCAAAAAACTACCAGAACTGATGAGTTTAGTCAAGTACCAGGATACAAAAGAAATATTCAGATATAGTTGTATTTATCTTTTTAATTTTTGATTGTTGTTCATGTACAGTTGTCTCCATCCCCCGACCACTCCTCACCTTCTCATCCCTCCCCACCCTACCCCCTTTGGCTTTGTCCATGTGTCCTTTATACATGTTCCTGATGACTCTTTTCATATTTTCCCCCATTATCCCTCTCCCCCCTCCCCTCTGGTTACTATCAGTTTATTATTTTTTCAATGTCTCTGGTTATATTTTGCTTGCTTGTTTGTTTTCTTGATTAGGTTCCCAATTCAAAAGAACCTATGTACCCCAATGTTCATAGCAGCACAATTTACAATAGCCAAGTATTGGAGGCAATCTAAGTGCCTATCAGTAAATGAATGGATCAAAAAAAATTGGTATATTTACACAATGGAATACTACACAGCAGAAAGAAAGAAGGAGCTCCTACCCTTTGTGACAGCATAGATGGATCTGGAGAGCATTATGCTAAGTGAAATAAGACAGGCAGTGAAAAACAAATACCATATGTTATCACCTATAAGTGGAAACTAATCAACAAAACAAATAAGCAAGCAAAATATAACTGGAGACATTTTTATACACCAGTAATGTAGTATCAGAAAGGGAAACTAAGAAGACAATCCCACTTGCAACTGCATCAAAAACACCTAGGAATAAATCTAACCAAGGATGTAAAAGACCTGCACTCAGAAAATTATAAAACAACAAAGGAAGATACAAATAAATGGAAATATATACCATGTCAGAATCAACATCATTAAAATGTCCTTACTACTCAAAGCAATCTATGGACTCAATCAATTTCTATCAAAATACCAATGGAGGGGGTTTTTTTTACCAGAACTGGAACACATAATCCAAAAATATATATGAAACTGCAAAAGACCTGACATAGCCACAGCACTCTTGAGAAAGGAGAACTAAATTGAATATATCACCCTACCTGCTATCAAACTATAGTACAAGGCTGTAGTACTGAAAATAGCATGGTAGTGGCATAAAACACACTTATATTAGATCAATGGAACAGAATACAGAGCCCAGAAATCAACCCACAACTATAAGATCAATTAATCCATGACAAAGGAGGCAAGGACAAAGACAATGTATTCAATAAATGGTGCAGAGAAAATAGAACAGATACATGTGGAAAATGTAAATAGAACACCTTCTTACATTAGATACAAGAATAAACTCAAAACGGATTAAAGGCTTAAATGTAAGACTCCAAACCATAAAACTCCTAGAGTAAAGCATAGCCAATAAAATCTCTGACATTTCCTATAGCAATTTTTTTTCTGACATCTCCTCAGGCTAGGGAAACAAAAGAAAACTAAACAAATGGGACTACATCAAACTAAAAAGTTTTTGCAAAGCAAAAGAAACCATCAACAAAATTCAAAGATAACCTCCTGAATGGGAGAGGATATATGTCAATGATACATCTGATAAGAAGTGAATATTCAAAATTTATAAAGAACCTACATAACTCAACACTGAAAAAATACTAGCAATCCAATTAAAAACTGGCAGAGGACTTCAACATACATTTCTACAAAGAGGACATACAGATGGCCAATAGACATATTGAAAGATGTTCAACATTACTTATCATTATAGAAATGCAAATTAAAACAACAATGAAATATTACTTTGCACCTGACAATATGGGTGTCACCAATAAATCAACAATCAAGTGTTACAGAGGGTGTGAAGAAAAGGGAACTCTCATGCACTGTTGGTGGGAATGAAAATTGGTACAGTTGCTATAGAAAATGGTATAGAAGTTCCTCAAAAAATTAAAAATGGACCTGCCTTATGACCCAGTGATTCCACTTCTGTATATACAGGGTCCAGCACAAATAATGCCCCTTTCTTATTACAAAATCTTTTGTCAAAAAATCATAAGCATGTCATTCTGTAACATAACAATATCATACTTAAGCATACCATATGACATTTTAGATGAAGTGTTCAAATTAAAACTATGAATTATTACACCCATATTATTACCTTACCAACCACACTTAAGCAGGCATTTCTTCTGCCAGACCCTGTATATAAGAAATCCAAGACACTAATTCGAAATATTATAATATATACACCCCTATGTTCATTACAGTGTTATTTACAATAGCTCAGATATGGAGGCAACATAAGTGGCCATCAGTAGAGAAGTGGATAAAAAAGTTGATATATACATCTATCTATCTAGAACTAGAACTGGAGGATATTACGCTAAGTGAAACAAGTCAGAGAAAGATAAATACCATATGATTTCATGTATGGGGTGGGAAAATAGTAGGTTTAGAGTTACACTGTGATTTTTTTTTAGTTAATAAAGCTATTGTAATCATCATAACCCACATACTCTTTTTCCATATGCACAACTGTAATCCAAATTTTGCCCCCTTGTATATTTGAAATCGAATGTCAAAGTGAATGAAGAAACACAACAGAAACAGATTCATAGATACAAAGAACAGACTGATGGTTGCCAGAGGGGAGGGGGTTGGGGCCTGGGAAGATGAAGGGATTAAGAACTTCTGATTGATAGTCACAAAATAGTCCCAGGGATGTAAAGTACAACGTAGGGAATATAGTGAATAATATTAACTATGTATGGTGCCAGGCAGGTGCTTGAAATATTGGGGAATCACTCTGTAAAGTATGTGATTGTGTGACCGCTGTGCTGTACACCTGACACTAATACAAAATAATATTGAATGTAAACTGTGATTGAAAAATAAAATTTAAAAAATTAACCAAAAAAAAAAAAAAGGAGTGTGAAAGCCCGGTCTCAAAGCATGTTGAGACCATTTTTTGGTAAAAGGTGCCTTGTATCAAAATTGACTTGAAGGAGAAGCTGGTCTCTGCAGTGTTTGCTAGAGGGCTGTGCTCTTCTATATCACACTGGTTTCAGTCAAGAGAGGATTGGTGAAGTGTGCCGGTGATCATCACAGTGCAAACCAAGCAGGTAGATGTTTCATTTCATTTCCATTTCTTACCTTTGTTTTTCTTCTTTGATTTATGCTGCAGAGAGGACTGCTGAAATGTCTGAAATCAAAGATAGGGAAGAATATTATCTGATAGGGTGCTATGTGGAACATCATCGTTGTATGCAGAACTCTCAAGACCTGAATGATAACTCTGAAATCTGGTCAGAGAAACTATTTTCTTTTTCCAAAGCCTCAAAAATCATGCTGCTCAACTTTCTAATATCCTGGGAAGCAGGAGAGGATATTATTTTTGTCTTTATTTTGTAGCAGAGAAATCTGGGCACAAAATAATGGTACAACTAAGCACGCATTTGCATAATCCTACTTTGTATCTGTTAAAGGAGTTTATTGTGCTTTCCCAAGCAATATCTCATTTGATTCCCAGAAAAATCTTATTAAGTAGGCAGGCAAATATGATTACTTCTTGTTCCTTATAAATTCATTCTATTACATATGCCACTATCACCTTTTGATCTCCTAGATACCCCTCCTCTGCCACTAAATATTTCAGCACTTGGATCGTTATTTTCATCTCACATCCACTTCTCTTATTAGTATTGGTGACTAATATTCTTGTAAGGGATGTCAGCACCTTGGGCTCCTCAGTCCCTCATCTCCAATGATCTTTATTTCTTCAATCCTTAGCTACCCATTACCATGATCATATGTTTTCTGAAGTATACTCCAACCATTGCCTACACTATCTATGTCTTACATAGTCTAATGCTTCTAACTCAGCAATTTTTAGAAAGTCTTCCTTTGAGGCGTCCAATTCATTGACCTCACCACCCTTTTGTGCCTTTGTTTCTCTTCTTCTACTTGGTTGCCATAGGACATCATTATAATTATTCTCTTGATTCATGCTCCCAGCACCATACTCACCTGGTTAAACAACCATCTCAGTTAAGCCAATCTTTACTCCATGCTAAGTGGTGCAACAGTTTAATGTTTTAATAGAAAATCCCACAACTGCATTGAATGTTCTAGCCTTCAATTAATGACTCTAAATCACTGGTTCCAATCAGATAGTCTAGTAAGCTGTATTATTCACTGATGTAAATAAGGTTAATTAGGTTCATATAATTAGTTAGTATGGTACAGAGATAGCATGTGCAACTTTAATTCATAGATAATCCTTTAAAATGAATTTTAGGTAACAGGTTCTTTTTTTCTTTTACAAAGGTATATCTATAAGAGGCAACTGGATTTTGTTTACATAAAATTCACTGGTCTTGGTTTTATAGAATACATTCGTGTTCTGTGACATAACTTTCTTATTTACCATCTTTGCTCATAAAAATAACAGAATAATATTCTTACATAATAGTTTTCTTGTGTTTGTATATGATTAACACAGTTTTCATGAATATAATATTCTGAATGGATACCATTCCTAAAGATAGGGATCAAATAATTTGGTGCCATACGGTGTACTCCAGAAACAATCACCCAAGTGTCAAAGCAATATGTCTGTGTGTGCACATGCATGTCTATGTGTATAATTTTGAAGGACTCAAGACTACAAAAATTCACTTTGGAGAGAAAGCACAAAAGATAAAACACATGCTGCGCTGATTTTCTTGAGTGTACTTTACTTCAAAATAATAACTCAAATAATAACTCAGGCTAGTGTGCTTACATATAGTTAATTTACATATAGTTATTTTCCCAGAATTATTTGGCTGTAAAATTACTGATTGGGTTTCTTTTTTCCCTTTGTGTTTCCACAAGTAATCATTATGATTTTACATCTTATTATTTTTAAAAATGACAAAGATGGGGGTGGTTTGTTTTTAGGAAGCTACATGGATAACAGACAGCTTGAAAGAACTGAGTTATATAATGTACCTCCTATGCTTTTTGCATGCTATTCTTTAGAACCTGAAGGTCTACTTTAAACTATACACAAAAACATATTTTATACTCTCCAGGCTTTCTTTTTTAACAAGATTATCTTTTCTTTCCCTATAAATATACTGTCATACTGATTGTGATGGCAGAGTATAAGAAGTGTACATATTGTTGAAGTCTAAGAACTCCTAGGCACACAATACAGATTTATCCATCATTCAAGAAAGCAAAGCCGCAGATGCCTTTTGTAAATATCATAAATATTACATCACAATCTCTCTTAAGAGAGATTTCATTATTTTTCTAAGTAATGTAACATTTTCTAAAATGAAAGTTATAATTGAATTGTATTAATTAAAATCATGTAAGTGAATTATATGCTTTGAAAGTAACAGCAAAAGCAATGAAAGCTACAGTCAAGGAAATAGGTCTTTGTGCAGAAAATAGTTACTATAGCAGGTCTGAAATGGCTGTCTTAGAAAGGCCTGTTTGCAGGGTTGACCCTTGGCTGACGTGTGGGAACTTGGCTGGTAAACAGTTCCCTATACTGACATGAAGCTCCCCTAAGTGATAAGATAGTTTTGCCCACCTGGGGACTAAACACCTGTTTTCTTTTTGGAGGTCTGGTATTTTTATAGTTGCTAGGCAGGGGGTTCTTATGTAATCAATCCAATAACATCCTTGGATGCTGTTTTTTTTTTTCAATGGGCTTCCCTGGGCAGAGACACTTGACATATGTGAGTGCAGTTTTGCTGCTGTGGGGAGAACGTACTCTGTATGACCATGTGTGCATGCACGCATGTGAGAGAATTTAAAGCATAAGCTCATATTGTTTATTGATGATCAAAAATACATCCCTTTGATAAGCATTTATGAAGGTAAATTCCCTCTAAAATGTATTTTACTTTATTTCCTAAATAATAATTCAGTAAAATCTAATGGATTCATATGACTAGCCAGGACATCTGGGCCGAGCTATATAGGCTGCCTGACTAAACAGATTTTATACAAAACTGAGCTAATGATAGTTACCACCCTTCAAACAAATGTGCTCCTCTCCTAGTCTTTTATACCTTAATAAATGGCAATTCCATCCTCCCCCTCCCCACAGGTTTATATCCAGAGTACATCTTGGAGTAAACTTACCCTTATCTTTCTATTACATCTCATAGCCAATCCACTAGCAAGCTGTGTCAGCTCCATCTTTAAAATGTGTTTACAATATGATTTCTTTTTACTACCTATACTACTAGCACCTTGGTCTAAGCCATCATCATCCCTTACCTGCATTACTGAAATATCTCCTCACTGTTCTTCCTACTTCTGCTCTTACCTCCTCTGTTTTTAAGACAAGAGACAGGATAATCCTTTAAAAATATGGTTTGAATAATATCATTTCTGTACACAAATTCTTCAATAGCTTCTCATCTCACTTTGAATCAAGGCTCAAACCTTTCCAATGATCTTGAAGGCCCTGTATAACTTCCCCCTGTTATGTTTGCCTCTTGTCATTACCCTTACTAACTTTGCTTCTGCTACAGTTGCTATTTCTAGATCATGCCAATTATGGTACCATCTTAGGTCCTTTACCATTGCTATTCCTTCTGTCTAAAGTAACATTTGCCCAGGTATTGTTGCGGCCTCCTCCCTTACCTCCTTCAGGTCATTACTCAAATGCTTCCTTTTTAGTAAATTCTTCCCAGGCTTCGCTATCTAAAATTGTTATCCTCATTGCCCTGAACACCTCCTGTTTTACTTTCCTGCTTCATTTCTCTCCTCAGCATTTGGCATTTTCAAAAGTTCTTATATTTCTTTTGTATTACCTGACATTCCTTCCAAATATAACTGCATGAAAGAAGAGGAATTCTGTCTATTTTATGCACTGTTTTATCTTCTGCCTAGAATGGGGCCTAACTCAGAAGAGATGCTCAAGAAATACTGGTTGAATGAATAAAAGTTAAGTAAACCATCTGTAAAGAACATAGGATGTAGCCAATTTTTTTTTTAACCTGAAGAAATCCTTCAGCAGACAACAAACGAGCCAGGTGTCTTTTTTCCAGTAATGCATGTACAGAATATTACTGAAAACTATGTTCTATAGTAGGCCATTTCTTTGGGTGGATAATTAAAAGTTCCTTTTTTATCCAACCCCCCTTAGCATTACTTACATTGGGACTGTGTTAGTGAACTTAACAGTTTAAATTTGAATTCAAGATGGGGCTGGCTAAAGTACATTAAATGTGTGTCAAAAGATAATTATGCAAATAATTATATGATGAATTATGAATGGATGTGTTGAAATCACAATTTTATCCTCAAAAATAGAATGTGCTAAAATAAAGGGCCATTATAAAAGTATTGTTGATCCTCTTGTTAACTATGGTGATGCATGCAATGGTATTCTGTTTGGCCATAAATGATCCCTTTTTCAGACATTTGCCTGGAAAGACCATTTGTCTTTCGTTTTGTCCACAGATGTTCTGTTCAAACTCCATTCCCCCCTCTTCTGAATGGGGAAGTATGGGGGAGGGTAATTTGGGTCATTCTTATCCTGAAAATTTCAGAAGCACTTATTTTAATTGTGGAACAAAATGACAGTTTCTGTGTTACATTTTGAAAGCTCAGCTACTATTAAATTCTTCTCAAGTTGCAAATTGCAACACTTATGGGAAAATTTGCAATCAAAATACTCTCTTCTTGCAATATAGCAACTTCCTCTTACTGTAATTTTCTGTGAAATTCCAAGATTTCTTCAGTGACTAGTCAAACCAATTGCTTATTTCTTACACATTAGAAAAGAAGGTGCGTAGCATTTGAAACACTTGGGAAAAATGATGGTTACTTTCACATATTTAATTTTTTAATAAACAAATAAACAAAAGGCCTTTGAAATTTAAATATTTCAAAAAGGAATGTATTTTCCCTTACTTTCTAATTCTTGTAGGCCAGCAGAAGAAAAGTCTAAACATGAACACGTAATGTAAATAAGATGCTAATGGGAATAAATATTAAATCAAGAAATCTCTCATGTACAAGAACTAACAGCACAGAATTGAAAAAGTTTGCTATTGGTGGTGGCCTTACCCATTCTGTTGCATGAGAAACTCTGAGCTCAGGGGTGTGAGGATAAGGCACTGCATTTGCACCGGGTCTTTCAGTACAGTGGGGTGACATTGCTTTGGATTGTCAATAAAGTTAACCTGTGTT